ATGAAACCTCATCGGGGCAGATGCTCAAAGGACGCCAAACCAGCGCAAAGTACTTAAGGTAACTTGAATTCTCAGGCTTAAACTATCAGTCCCCGTGTTAAGCGGAATTGCTCATTTCGCTACGCCAGATACTAAATACTACTGACATTAGCCGACGTCACCTGTGTTGCTTAATGCAGTGATTGGAGTTCTGAAGAAGAAGAAGAAGAATGATGATAATGATGATGAGTATGATGATGATGATGATGATGATGATGAGGAGGACATAATAATAATAATAATAATAATAATAATAATAATATGATGATGATGATGATGTACTAGGTCAGACAGTTCACTGATGCATGCGAGAAGGAAAAGGTAGGAAGGACCGATGATGATGATGATGATGATGATGATGATGATGATGATGTTGATGATGGTGATGATGATGATGATGATGATGATGATGATGATGATGATGATGATGATGATGATGATGAAAATGATGATGATGATGATGATGATGATGATGATGATGATGATGATGATGATGGCTGATGATGATGATGATGATGATGATGATGATGATGATGATGATGATGATGGATGATGATGATGATGATGATGATGATGATGATGATGATGATGACGATGATGATGATGATGAAGCGATCACTGGAACAAAAGTTTTTTTATTTGCCTGACGTTTTGGATTCCCTCGGTAATCCTTAATCATAAGTGGTAATGTGCAGATGGGGGTGAAACATGCACAGATAGGAGTTCTGTTCGAGGCCCGGTATTCTTATTTTAAATATGCAGTCCGGGATTGCGAAATCGCCTGCATATGACAACAAGTAGGGAAGAATCGGTCATCCCAGTGTTCTAGTATTCCTTTGTTATTATTAGGAACATATTTCCAATAATTTTACAGGAATCTCTACGACTGCTCTCGTTGAATTAAATGAAGAAAGCCTCAAATAGCAATGGCACATCTGCTAAACGCCAGTGGGAGTAAATTAACTAGCTAATAGCCAGTCAGGAAGGCAGGCTTACGCTTTGGAACTCCAATTTCTTCACACGAAACTTCTATGAATCAGAAATAATCCAGTCAGGTGAATGAAAAGAGAATCACATTGTTTGTTTGAGATTTAAGCTTAATTAGTAACGTAGTCCACTTTTTGCTGCAGGATGCGTATGTTAAGCCCATGTTTGGATAACTCCACCGATTTAGGACATTACAATCTCCTCGGATAAGTTATTCCACTGTTCTAGGGCTCAGGTAGGGAAAAAACTTCCTCACACCTGCAGCGGTCAAGAATGTGCGATCTACTAGAACCAATACACTAGGAGTATTTCGTCTGACGGATAAAGACAGTCAGATGTTAGGAACTATTTCTAGGTACACAAGGCAAATTGCTGTGAGTGGACTGCTTGCCTGTGTGTGATAAAAGTGTCCATCTGGGAGCCTGTCAGCAGAGGTGTATGGACAATGCAACCGTTTGTTAGCGTGCTTACAGTGGTGTGCTGTTTATACGCTTGGGTCGGTTCGTGTGGTCTTGACTGTCTGGCTGTAGCGCGCGTGATTGGTTGCGTCAAAGGCCGAGTCTGGAGCGTGTGAGGACAAGGTCACCTGTACACCAAATAGGTGGACTGACGTGGGTGGCCCGAGTTGGACCGGTGGGCACCGCCGCGCCTCGATGGAGCACCTGTCGCTTAATTGCGGCATCAAGATGCCCTAGAAGGGGGGCATGGGGACAACTGCCACACATCCAATCTTCCTTTGGGCAAACCTATTTTGAAGAGATGTCCCATGAAATTAATTCTCGTGGCGAGTTGGAAAAGGTCATCATAGAGGAGAGTCTAGTCCAAACCACGCACAATAGGTGTATGTTGTGCCATTTGTTTGGAATTTGAAATTTATGTTTGTTAGCGCTAGGAAGGCACTACCTACACAAACTTAGTTTCGAAATAAATTTATGACAATGTGCACAGATAAAATGCACAAATCTGTAAAACCGTAAGCAGATATTGTCCTTTTAGGGCAGTAGTTGGCGATGAGAGCAGAAGAAGACTCGATCGCCGGGACAACACTTCTATTCGCCTGACGTAACTAAACGATGTATTGAAATTAGTGGTGAACTAGAAAATATCCAGTAAAGAAAAAAATTACGCTAAAAGTATGTGTTGGTTCGACATAATCCAGCGGGGGAACAGTACAAAATCCAGCGGAACAAGGTAAAAAATGGTTTTCAAAGCACGAAGGGACTTTGAGAGCGATCAACTTCGTCGAGCTGTTAATAATCCAAGGCTGTTTAACAGTTATTTACGGAAAAGCACACGTAACAGGAACCTGATTCCTGTTATGCA